ATCCATGCGTTTTTCCTCTTCTCTCGAATCTGAGAGTTCAGTCTGTTAGCAAGTTGACCTCTTTGCCACTTTGAGGTACATCCTCCATGCAGCTGCTTCACACCACCTGTACTGCAATACTAGTCCTGCAGGCCTTTTGCAGTACCTTCCGAACGAGTCTGTCAGCTTCTGTTCTGCCTCCCTGAGGCAGTTAAGGGAACCAGCTAGGGTGAACTTCAGTTATAAATCAAGTCATGCCACATTTGTTTATTTATTTATATCCTTCTCTTGTACCACCTGGCTTCCTATATAAACACACTCGACCATCAGGGTCTTTGCTGTCCTTTGGACTGACACTTGCCCCCAGATGTGTATAGCTCAATTTCTCACTTCAACTCCGTATTCAAAGCACACCTCAGCAAAGGGGCCTTCTCCAAACTCCCAGGATAAAAGAGCACACCCATCCTGGTAACCTGGTGAGCTGGTAACCTGCCTTTGCCTTGTTTAACTTCAAAACAAGCTTCGTAACTTTTTATTATTTTCTGTGTATCTCTCCTCCCCCTGCACTCCCAACCCCTGCACTAAAAAGTTGTGTAAACAAAAGAATCTTGGTTTGTTTTATTCCCTGCTGGAGTGCCAAGATCAAGGCCTCCCATGTAATAGGGATGCAGTAAGTAGTTGCTGGCTGATGGAAGAATGAAGTGGGATGACAGGACATTAACTACTTTGCTCACTAGCCTTCTAGGTGTTAAGGTTACAAAGATGAAAGAGGGATAGCTCCTGTCCTCAGAAACTTACATTCTAATAACATAGATTTAAAATACATAGTTGGAGCCTAGAGAGATGGCCTAGTGATTAAGAGCATTGACTGCTCTTCCAGAGGACCCAGTCTGACTTCCAGCATTCATATGGCGGTTCACGAGCAGCTGTGACTCCAGTTCCAGGGGATCTGCTGCCCTCTTCTGGCGTCCACAGGCACTGCACTCACAAGTGGTACACCGAGATACAGGCAAACTACTCATGCACATTAAATTAAACATATAGGTTAAGTATTATAAAGTAAAACATGAAAAAGTAATGCAGACTGGGTGCAGTAGTGTACATCTGTACTCCAGCTGTGGAGGCTGAGGCTGGAAGATCGCTTGAGCCCAAGAGTGGAGGCCTGCCCACTCCCTGCTTTTCCCCTTGTTTTTCAGACAGGGTCCTGTATAACCCAGGATGGCCTTAAAGTGCTCATCTTCCTGCCTCCACCTCTCAAGTGCTGGGATTACATGTATGGGCCACCACACTCAACTGTGAGACCTCTTCTCTTAAAAATAAAAGCAGAGCCAGGTGTGGATTCCTTTAATCTCAGCACTCAGGAGGCAGAGGCACTCAGGAGTTCAAGGCCAGTCAGAACTACAGAGTGAGACCCTGTCTCTAAATAAATAAATAAATAAATAAATAAATAAATAAATAAATAAATAAATAAATAATGCAGGATGGGGATAGAGCTAGATAATGATATGTTATTCCAAATAGTCAAGAGCTGCCTCACTTCAGAAGTACCAATTGTATAGAGACCTGACTTAAGAGGAAAGATGCAGTCTAATATTATAGCTGAATATTCCAAGGTAAAACACCAAGCTAGAGCTGGAACATACTGTGAATTTTGTGATAGCAAGAAGGGTAATGAGGCTAGAGCAGATCCAAGGAGCCAGGGAAGAGATAAAATCAGAAATAAGACAGGTACCAGATCATGCAGAACCTGTGATAATTTCGTTTAAAAAATTTTTTTTCAAGAGAGTTTCTCTATGTAGCCCTGACTGTCCTGGAATTCTCTTTGTAGACCAGACTGGCCTCGAACTCACAGAGATCCACCTGCCTGTGCTTCCCCAGTGCTAGGACTAAAGGCATGTGCCACCCCTGCACTTATATAAGTCTATGCACCACTTTAAAAAAAAAAAGATTATTTATTTATTATGTATAGTGTTCTGCCTGCATGTCTGCCTGCATGCCAGAATAGGGCACCAGATCTCATTATAGATGGTTGTGAGCCACCATGTGGTTGCTGGGAATTGAACTCAGGACCTCTGGAAGAGTAAGTAGCCAGTGCTCTTAATTTCTGAGCCTTCTCTCCAGCCCTATGTACCACTTTTGTGTAAATGCCTACAGAGACAGAAGAGGACATCATCTCCTGGAAATGGATTTTGTTAGCCACCATGTTGAGTACTGGGACTTGAACCTGAATCCTCTGGAAGAGCAGTTAGTGCTCCTAACTGCTGAGCTATCTCTCCAGTTCCAATAATTATGATTTTTAGTATGGGATGGTAAAGTATTGGATGTTTTGGGTAGGAGACTATGACCTGACTTACATTTTAAAGACACTCTGGCTGTTTTATGTTTGATTGCATCAAAGCACTAATAGACAAACTAGCTGTATTATTTACTTTCCTAATTGCTGGGCAAATTATGTCAACTATGAAACTTAAGCAAAGGTTTATTTCAGGTTATAGTTTGAGGGGAAGTTCATCATGATGGGGACGGCATGGCAGCTGGAGTGTGAGATTGCTGGTCACATTATGTTCACAGTCAAGAAACAGAGTGATGAATACTGGTGCTGAGTTCACTTTCTCCTTTTTATTCAGTCAAACCCCCAGCCCATGGAATGATGCCACCCACAGTTAAGGTAGGTCTTCCCACCCCAATTAACCTAATCTAGGTAATCCCTCACCGGCATGCCTACAGGCTTGTCTCCTAACTAATTATGGATCTTGTCAAGTTAACAGTATTAATCACATGTCTACTGCAGCAAGCAGTTAAGCAAGAGACAGCTTGGAATAGAATGTGGCTGGGAACATAGCTCAGCTGGTAGAGTGCTTGCCTGGTATGCATGAAGCCCTCAGTTTGATTCCCAATGATGAATAAAATCAGACATGGTGGTGCATGCCCAGCCTTCAGGAGATGGAGTCAGTAGTTATAGAAGTTAATTTAAAGCTATTCTAGGCTACTTAAGTACCTGTCTCAAAAACAAAGAATTGAAGTGGGGAAGGGAGGGAGGGAATGGTATTGGAATGGGTCAGCGTTGAGGAGTCTGAACCTAGTACCTTGACCTTCTGGTTAAAAGAAAAAGAGGCTGAAGATGTAGTTTACTTGGTAGAGTACTTTCTCAACATGTCTCAGCATGTCCAGAGCCCTGCAGCTCAACCTCTAGCACTCCATAAACTGGGAGTGGTGATGTACACCAGTAATCCCAACTCTGGAGTAGAGGCAGGAGGATTTGTAATAGAAGGTCATCCTCAGCTATGCAGTGAGTTGGAATGCAGCCTGAGATGCAGGAGACTCTGTCTAAAACAACATCTTTAGCAACAAATAACGGTCCCAGCCTCCTATCTGGGACTAATTTAGAATCCTGTGTAGGCTTTCTTTAGGTGTCAGCACAAAACAATATACAAAAGTCACCTGAAGCCATCAACCTGCCGAGTTACTTTGCATATCCATATTTTTATTTTATTTTTATTTATTTATTTATTTATTTATTTATTTTATTTTTTCGAGACAGGGTTTCTCTGTGTAGCTTTGCGCCTTTCCTGGAACTCACTTGGTAGCCCAGGCTGGCCTCGAACTCACAGAGATCCGCCTGGCTCTGCCTCCAGAGTGCTGGGATTAAAGGCGTGCGCCACCACCGCCCGGCGCATATCCATATTTTTGCTGCAGTTTCACAACAGCTAAATTATGGAATAGACCTAGATGTCCATACACAAATGAATGGGTAAAGAAAGTATGGAATATATACACAATGGAGTCTTTCAGCTATGAAGAATGAAATGGTATTTGCAGAATGGATTATGGTAAGCAACATAAACCAAATTCAGAAAGACAAATATGACATGTTCTCTCTCATATGCAGAATCTGGATTTAAATGTGTGTGTGTGTGTGTGTGTGTGTGTGTGTGTGTGTGTATACATTACACATATTTATTTGTATTTAACAGGGAAGTAGAAAGGAGCCTGAGAGGCAAGGAACAGATATAGAGAGGGAATGGAATAGGAGATAAGAAAAGGAAACTAGAAGAAAAGGAAAAAGGAAAATAGGAGATAAGAGCCTGAAGGTGGTGGCATACGCCTTTAATCAGAGACAGGCAGATCTCTGTGAGTTCGAGGCCATCCTGGTCTACAAATCGAGTTCCAAGACAGGCAGTGCTGAAAAACAAACAAAAGGAATGGAATATATACTTGTCATGATAGCTAAGAGTAATTGAAGGTATCCAACAAGGAGAAAGGTGGTTATTGGGGAAGGGGACCAGCAAGTATGACACGTATGTATGAAAATACCACAAGGAAACCTATTATTTTGTTTTTGTGTATATGTTGTGTGTGTGTGTGTTGGGGATGAATTAGTTTAGGTTGACCTCCAACTTGCGCATATCCTGCCCAAGCCTCCTAAGTGCTAGGCGTGCACCACTATGCCCAGCGTGAAACCTGTTTGTATGCTAACTTAAAAAATTCTGCCAGTGTCGTACACCTTGAACCCTAGCCTTTGGGGGCCAGAGGCAGACGGATCTCTGTTCAAGACCAGCCTGGTCTACAGAGTGAGTCCCAGGACAGCCAGGGCTACAAAGAGAAACCTTGTCTCGGAGGAAAAAAAAAAAGAAATGTGGCAAGAGTTAGAACCTCAGGATTGGAGGACGCCTAGTGATTTGCATGCAAGTCCCTTGGAAGTCGGGTCCATTTTCCGTCACAACGCTAAGGAACCCCTAAATCACACGTGTTTTGAATACCAGGAGACAAGCCATTACTCTGAAACTACGGAAACAGCTTGAATCCTCCGCAACGCGCACGCGCCCCTCACTGCTTCGGTTGGCCCTAAGCCCCGCCCCTCGTGCGGCCACCGGGAGGGTTGGGAGCCGAGAGCTCGCGCGACCGTTCTCGCTCAGTCCCCTCCAGCGCAGCGTCGCAAACCCGGCCGGAAAGCGTGTCGGCGCAGGCGCAGGCGCAGGGACCCGAGGCGGCGGTGGTGGCTGCCGCTGGCCAGTGTAAGATGGCGGCGGCGTTGGTGGCGGCAGTGGACGGGGCGGCTGGGCCTGGAACAGTCGGAGCATCCGCTGGCAGAAGGATGACCCAAGACGGGAAGCGGGCTGCCGAGCCTCGCCGGCTCCCGTGCTTGTAACTGTCCCAGCCGGACGCCCTCCCCTTGACCTACCCGGTCCGTGTCTCGTTCCGGCTCGGCCTGTTTCCCCTCTCCCTGACCGCTTCCCCGCAGGATGGGCCCGATCCCTTTCCTAAGCTCCCGGGGTTTAGCTCTTCTTCCCCTCACCCGAGTCAGTGCTGGGAGGACTGCTTGTCCTTTGCCCAGGTCAGTCCCGGGGCTGCCCCCTCGGGCTACCCCCATAATTCGCAGGGACTTTCGGTTCGACCGGTGACCCATTTGTATGCTTTCATTTCTCCCTCTCTAATTTGAGGACCCGGTTCTGTGTACGTCTCCCTGTCACTTTCAGGGCTACCGCGCAATGTGTCCCCCTCCCCCATCCCAAGTTCTCAGGCCCAGCACCTTGTACGGAAGGCCGAGGTCCAAGAAACTGGCAGTGTGTACTTGAGGTCTGGTCTTGGACGCTTTGTGATATAATTCTCTTAGTGTACTTTCCCCTGTCCCGAAATCGTTTAGGACACCTTAGGACGGCCCCACTTGGTCCTTAGTAGTTGGAAAGCATCTGGTGGCTTGAATTTCTGACTCATGATTGTTGGTAGAGTCTGTAAACAAACCGGCACTAGCGCTATCACATTCTCCCCCGGATTCTCCCCCCTCCTACCCTCCCCCGCGCTCTGTAGCTTCGGATGAGAGGTGGTTTGGTTTAGAGTTGAAAAGATGCAGGTTTTCCTCATAAACGACTTTTTAGTGTTGGTGGAGCTGGGAGATAACTTGCTTGGCGTTTAAATCTTGTGTTAATTCTTTGTATTTACTTTCCGTGTATGGGTTTTGTTCAGTAGTCAGAAATGAATTAGTAAGTTATTTTGGTTTTAAATAGTTCTGAGAAGGACTGAAAAAACAGTAAAGTGTGGTCATAAGTGTTTTGACTACGTTCAGAAGAAGAGACACCTTTGCCATGTAAACTTTAACTTTTCTCAGTTCTTCAGTGAACCTCCAGACCAGTTTTCTCAGGAACCAGCCTGGCCTTACATCATTGATAAAAGGAGAAAAGGTGAGTGCGAGTAGAAGGCTTTTAATTCCTCAATTCAAGACAGTCTCTTTCCTGATGCTCAAGAGCACACCACTAAACTCTTAACAATTTTACTACCATTTCCAAAAGTTTGGGTATTGTTTGTAACTTTATTCCAGCTTTGACTAAATTACTTAATTGGCTGTGTTTTGACCTGCTGCCCTAAACTATTAATGTTTGTCTTCAAATGATTGAGTTAAGCACTCTGCCTGTTTTTTGTTTTCTTTATTCATTTGCATTGTGTTTTGTCTTTGTATGGATCATGTGTTGTACTGTTAAAAATGGAGAATCGGTTTGCCTGAATTATCTTTAGTCATTCTTTTTTCTTTTCTTTTCTTTTTTTTTTTTTTAATTTTGGTTTTTCAAGACAGAGTTTCACTGTGTAACAGTCCTGGCTGTCTTCAAACTCGCTTTGTAGATCAGGCTGGCTTCCAACTCCCAGAGATTTGCCTGCCTCTGCCTCCCAAGTGCTGGGATTAAAGACAGTTACATGCCATAGGAGTGATTAGTGATTGATTCTCCATTTAGTAGGTGTCTAAGCCCAGTTAGTCTCGGAGGTCCAACTTTTCAAAATGCAGTGGGAAATTTTTGGTTAAAAAAAAAAGTATCTCCTTTTATAGCTAGCTTGCAGAATTTTTGATTAGTAGAAGCAGCATCACGTGCTTTCATCAACATGGGCCAAGCCAAAGAAGGAGTCAGAACCCAGTTGTAAATGTAGTTTTTGTAAGGCTTTTAGGTTTCTGGTAGCAGAGAGTAGAACTGTGTTTGAGACTGAGACTTAATAGAAAAGCTAAGTGGCTCTGTAAGGTAGGTCTGACCAATTTTTAGTATCTTTATGATTTGTAGTAGGAAAAATTGGAGTGTGACTGTGTTAAAGTTTTATTCCACACAGTGCCCAAACTAGAAAATGTTCATTATGAACTAAAATAAAAATTTTAATGCTGATGTGTATATGTAAGATCTAAGAATAAAAGTACAGCTTTTAGTTTGATGAGTATGGGTGTTTACCGACCTGGCTATCTACTCAACACTTGCATGACTGATAAAGGAGGAAGAAGAAGACGGTGTCAGATACCCCAGAACTGGAGGTATAGGTGGTTGTGACCTGCCATGTGGGTGCTGGGAATCAAATCTGGGTCCTCTGCAAGAACAGCCAGTGCTCTTAACCACTGAACCATTTCTCCAGCCCATTTATTTGATTTTTGAGATAGAGACTCAATTTAACCCCGGGCTGGCCTGGAATTCCCTGTGTAGATCAGGCTCATCTTGCAAACTGTAAGCCTGCTTTAGCTCCCCAAGTGCCTGGTGGACAGATGTGAGGCACAGTGCACAGGTTAATAGTTTCATGTGTGCGTTTTTTAGCACTCATCTTTTTTCCAGTTTTTTGTGTTTTTTTTTTTTAAGAATTGGAGTGGTAGCGAATGCCTTTAATGCCAGCACTTGGAAACAGAGATAGGCGGCAGATCTCTGAGTTTGAAGCCAGCCTAGTCTACAAAGTGAATTCCAGGACAGCCAGAGCTACAAAGTGAGACCCTGTCTCAAAAAAGAAAAAAAAAAAAACAAAAAAAACAAAAAAGAACAAAAACTGGGCCTAGGGCTCAGGTATACTAAGCAAGCTCTCTGTTACTGAGACACAGTCCCTCGGATTCATCCTTAAGATTTATGTATCTGTGTCTGTGTGGGAGTTTATGCATGTGAGGGTAGTGCCTGTGGAGGCTACAACAAAAGAAGGCACCAGGTCCCTTGGAGCTGGGCCGCAGCCTGTTGTGAACTATCCTGTGGGTCCTCTGCAAGAGCAGTAAGCATTTAATTGCTGAGCCAGCTCCACTCCCTTCACATTCAGTCTTAATTGTTGATATCAGATGTTTGCTTTATAAATGCTCATGTAGGGTGTTTTTTAAATCTGATTTCTGAGTATAGGGATAGGAAATGTTTGTAGATGTATATTTTCTAAAAGCTCCCCCCCCCCCCACTCCCACCCCACCCCCCAGGTTACTTCTGTGTAGCCCTGGCTGTCCTGGAACTTGTAGACCAGGCAGGCTCTAAATGCATTCTTAAACTCTTACTTTCTTTCTTCTTTTTTTTTTTTTTTTGGTTTTTCTAGATAGGGTTTCTCTGTGTAACGGTCCTGGAACTCACTCTGTAGACCAGGCTGTAGACTCACAGAGATCTACTTGCCTCTGCCTCCTGAGTGGGATTAAAGGCATGAGCCACCACCGCCCAGTCACCAATAATTTCTTTGTTCCTTAATTTCTTCCTCTTGGTCTGTCAGCATACCTTGTCAGAGTATGTTCTAATTCCTTCCCTTTCTGCTGAAATGTTGTTCTCTGGGCTCTAACTATCCCCCGTGTGATTCACTTTTGCTACAAAAAGGGAAATGTTTTCTCTAAGATGGTGAGCCCTGTGGTGAGTCTCACCAGCAGATTATTAAGAATATGACGAGGAAATACTTTCTCTAAAGTGAATCAGGGATCTTTTCATCTTGAAGCTATACCATCTTAAGACAGTGCAAATGAAGAATTTTTAAACTTTTTTGGTTTGTTTTTCTTCCACATCTGTTTTGGAAGAGTCAAGGTTCATAGAAGTTGAAGTTTTGATGACAGCACAGTATAAAGACAGCTTCATTCAGACCAGTGATTGTTTTTTTTTTTTTGGGGGGGGGGTGATTAACTTTTATCACTACCACCCAGGGACTAGATTTCCTATTGTAATGTCAAGACTCTTGACAGTGGTCAAGAGTTAGGCATTTGCATTTTATGAGATCTGGAGGTTTTTGTTGCTTGAGGATGGTGGAGGAGAAAAGGAAATATATTGAAAGAATAATAACTTGACTCTCCCTTACTTCCTGTTTTTCTGGATAAGGATGCTCCTCCACCACCCACTCCCCAAACCTGCAGGAAAGATTTCTAGGTAACGTCTTTGTATGCATTGAATCATATTTTTAGTCTTATCACAGCTGTAAAATTCTTCTCCTTCTAAGGATATTTCAGGGTTCAAAGTATTACCAAAGAACAAGAATTTTGTTGTTGTTGTTTTTCTTTCTCTCTCTTTTCAAAAGATGGACTCTCATGTAGCCTCGTCTGGCCTCAAACTCAGTATGTAACTGAGGATGACCTTGAACTTCCGGTCTTAGGTAGCCTCTGCCTTCATGTCATCACAAGCATGTGCCACCATCCTGGTTGTATTTGTTTGAGACAGGATCTCACTCTAGCCGAGCCTCATCTTGAACTCACTTTGTACCTCAGACTGGCCTTGAACTTGCACCACCACCACCTCCATCACCACCACCACCACCACCACCACCACCACCACCACCACCACCACCACTACTGTTGTTTCAACTTCCTGAGTGCTAAGATTATAGGTATTCGTGACCATGCCTGACTCTAGACTAGAGGCTTTTAAAATCAAAAGACTAAACTATACTATCAGTAGATTTACTAATGTATTATTTTTGCTGTATAAAAGTTACTCTAAACATGTCTAGCAAGGATCCAAAGTGCTGGGTGTTGGGGGGCACACTTTTAATCTTAGCACTCAGGAGGCAGAGGTAGGCGGATCTCTGAGTTTGGAAGCCAGTGAACTCCAGGACAGAGCTATGCAGCCATACCCTGTCTTTTAAAAAAAAAGTCTTTGGGATTGAATTTGCCTTTTTCTTTCCTTAACTAGATTATCAGTAAGCCGAGATAATCTGTTTTTCACCTTCCCTATTTAGAACTCAAGGACCTGAGTGAGTGAGGTCAGTAGCAGGCGTGGAAGTCTTGTAACTGTGTGCACAGTAAGACCTGTTTTTGTAGTTGGTTTGTTTTTTTGATCAACCATGGAATAAAAATATTAATTGGCGAAGTACAGAATTAAACAGTTTATGAGTTTTAAATTGTGTGCTTTTCTGTTTAGCAAGATGTAATCTATCCCAGCTTTCCTGGGACATGAATCAGGTACCGTAAGTTGTATCCACTAGCCATCGCTTAGTTACTTATTACCTGTTATCAAACCACTCCTGCTATATTAGTGTCTGTGTTCAAGTAAATGGCCCCTAAATGTAAGAATATTGGTGCCTGCAACTCAAATTACAAAGAGCAGTTGTAAATGTTTCCTTTAAATGAAAAGAGGAAAATTTTCAATAAGGTAAAGGTAGGTATATATGCCTATAATACCAGATATTCTTAAGGCTGCGGCAGGAGTATCTTGACTTCAAGGCCAATGTTGCCACCTTGAGTGCTCCCCTTGTCCCCCTCCCCCCAAAGGAAAAGACTAAGAATCCTTTTTTGTTTGTTTTTTGTTTTTTCAAAACAGGGTTTCTCTGTGTCGTTTTAGTGCCTATCCTGGATCTCGCTCTGTAGACCAGGCTGGCCTCAAACTCACAAAGATCTGCCTGTGTCTGCCTCCCGAGTGCTGGGATTAAAGGCGTGCGCCACCACTGCCCGGCCGGACTTCCCTTTTTAGATACCTAGAACATAGATACTCTTAGGTACTGATTTGGTTTGTTCTTAGTAAGGTTTAGTTTACAAGGTATCTGATTTTGAAATTTCTATTTAGATAATTTGTAAGTTTATATATCTAGCCCTAATTTATTTCTTTCTTTAAAAAAATTAAAGTCTGTTTTTACTTATTTTGAGTGGGTGTATGTATGTGTGTGGGTAATTTGCCATGATGTACATGTGGAAGCCCGGGGACAACTTGCAGGAGATGATTATCTCCTACCACGTGGCTCTAAGTTCTACATGTACTGCATTGATTCTCACTACCTTCATAACATGTCAGCTTGGATTTAAACATACTAGAATTAGTCTTCCGGGTGCCAGCTTGTCATTTGTGGCATTTGATTTCTGTGCTCAAAATGTATCTTTAACTTTTAGTTTTAGAACTGTTTATGAAGCCAAACACTGTCTACCCTATAGTGTTTCTCATGTCCCCTCCCTTTATTTCCATGTGCCACCAATCTTAAGATAGGCTCTTAGCAACTGTAATAGCTTTAAACT